TTGAACAGATATCCATATTTTATACTGTAAATATTCAAACTCCCTCCTCATCAGAGACCATGAGTCGATGACAAACAGTCAGAATGTCAGGTTTCTATCTTTATACCATCACAGCTTTCCATTACTTTCATCCTTGCTGCCAGATTTCCCAGTTTGTTCCAGTAGCAGCTCTAAGAGGAAGCGTTCTCTGGACATTTTGTGTTTGAGATGCGTCTGTTTTCTTCACTGCAGTGAGAAGGTTGACGTCTGTAAGTTGTCGCAGAACACCAATTTTCAGCGAGTGTCCCATTTTAACAATCCAGCGGAAGCTTCCAGGAGTCCACCGCAAACAGGAACTGCTCCAGCAAACCCCTAATGGCGCCAATTTGTCAAAAAGTAAACTCCTGTTTACGCCCAAAACTTAGAGCTCGATTATCCCCCAAACAGACAGTCGGAGAATAATAACTGGAGGGACCAAATCCATTAATACACAAACCCTCTGAATATGGCTCCGACATGCTTCCTGCTCTCGTTAAGCCGATCACAGAGGATGTTTCAGGGTCTGATCGGATCCTTTAAGAGGCCGAGAGTGTCTGGATCACATCAACAAAAACAACAATAGTCTTCAGATATTGAGCTGAGAGCTGAAGCTGATCTCAGATCTGTGATTAAGGACAACAGAGAGGCTCTTTAGAAACCTTTAAAGGATGAAGGATCAGAAGTTCACCAGGATGCTGCAAGAAAAACAGAAAAAAGAGAATAAAGAAGCTCAAAGGTTCTTTTTTTTGTACAGATTTTTCTCATTTGGATAAACTAATAATGTCAAACAAAGTCACAGAAAAAAAATGTATATATTAATCAGAAAAAAAACATTTTTTGTGCATCTGTTGTTGTTTTTTGATTTTCCTAATTCTGTTAAATTACTAATATTGATATTTAGTAAAATCACAGGAAAAAATATTATTATGTTAATCCTAAAAAAAAAAAAAAAAAAAAAAAAAATTTATCATTTTTAACACATGTATTATTTTATATTTTTTCCTCACTTTGTTAAATTACTAATAATAATATTGAATAAAGTCACAGAAAAAAAGGTTTTAATTTACACGTTAATCCAAAAAAAAGAAACTGTCCAAAACTGTGAATAATGTCTGTATAGAAAATAAAATCTGCATTCTTTATTATTTTACATGGTTTAAACAATAAATTAAACAGTTTTTACTGTATTTGAATCAACAAAGAAAAAATACTTAGAGACTGAAAACGGTAAATTAAGTTTATGGCTGTTTTTTTTTTTTTTTACTGATCAAATTACAGATAATATTCAGTCAAATATGATGATGATATTGATGATATTTTTCAGTTTCATTTATTATAAAAATAAAAATATTAGTAAAATATTCACAATATCGGTTTTTGATGTTATTTTACGTTGGACGTGTAAATTCACTTTTTTAAAAATTGTGTTGATATTTTTCCTGTTTTATTTTTAAACCACAGAAAGTAAAACTAATAAATAAAACTTATTTATGTATTTATTTATTTATTTTAAACCACAGAAAGAATCTATAAAGTAAAATTAATAAATAAAACTTAATTTTTAATTTTTTTTTTAGAAATTAATTCAATTTATTTAATGTTTGATTTCCAGCCTCTTGCTTGTACCGATGAAGAAAAGTTTATTAGAACAAAAACTGCGGATGGTTTCAAATGATATTTTTATTTTAACTTTTATTGTTTTATTTTTATTTTATTTTATTTATTTATTTATCTATTTTACAAAATTTGAGCGTTACAATAGTCAAGGATTTTTCCAGCTGCCAGATTTTCACTTTTTTTAAAAATTCTGAATTATTACTGATTTTATTATTATTTTATTGTATTTCATTTTATTTTATTGTGTTTTATCATAATTTAATTTAATTTAATTTAATTTAATTGTATTGTATTGTATTGTATTGTATTGATTTGAATTTAATTTAATTTAATTGTATTGTATTGAATTGAATATTATTTAGTTTTATTTTATTTTATTTTTTCCAGTGTGGAGCACCAGAAAAGCAGCTAAATATTGTAAAATAATTATCCCATCTCTCACTGGTTGACAGTTTGCAACACAACAAACTCTGTTTCTCTTAATTCTCACGACTTGCATCAAGTTTCAGTCATAAATCTTCAGTTTTAAAGTTGAAACTAACAGTTTAAAAATCTGTCTCTGAAGTGAAGCCGTTGGTTCTGCTGTGACTGGAGATTAGGAGAAGTTTAATGGAATAAAAAAAAACAAAAGCAGCGTTTTGGCTTCACTTTAACTGTGGATTGTGGTCGAGGGAACAAAAAAACATCCTCGATGAGATGTTGAAATGTTTTGCTTTCAAATTCTTCTTCGCTTCTGTGGGAATAGACTCGGTCCAATGTAAAGACAAAAAGAGGAGCGAGACAGGAAGCACAGAAAGCAGAGCAACAGGCTTCGCTCGTTTTAAAGAAAGGCGTCTTATTGTCTGGGGGACATCTGATCCTCTCGCACATAAACCCCCAGAAATCTGCTGACACCGAGCGCTCGCTCAGCGCTCACAGCCAGAGAGGACGAAGCTGACGGAGGAGCTACGAACCCCACCGACGCTTCCTGCTTTCTTCTGTTCTTCTGAAGCAGCTCTTGTGTAACCGCTGATCTGCTTCATTAAAGCAGATCAATAAAGCGACTGGATGAGGAAACTCAATCCAGAATCTGTTGAAACTCCGTAGACGACCTCTGACATCCCAAACCGATGTCTGCCCTTTTTTGTAGCTGAAATCCAACTTTTTCAGAAGTTTTTCACTCAGTGGAAGTTTTTTAAAAAATCTCTCGTGAGTTTCAGACGTCCACGTCTCCACGTGTTCGTCCTCCAGCCTCCACGTGTTCAGACGGTGTTCTGGAGTTTCTGGTGAACGGAGAGAAGCTTCTGGAGATAAAGACTCAGTTCTTCTGCTTAAGAGCTCCGAAATCAGGATTTGTTCAAAAATCACGACTGACCTCCACGTTGTCTGAAAGCGCTGTGCTGCTGACTGTTATTACTAAACAGGAAGTGGTGGCTCGGCTCGGGTCCAGAACTGATCCGGAGCAGGAAGATATAAAAGTGATTCGTGTTTATGGCATAACGGAAGGATGTCGACACTCGGCTCACCAGGAGATGAGACCTCTGGGCTAGATCTGGACTAGA